CTGCGTCTCTAAATAAATAAATAAATAGACTGTGTTTAGAGTTTTCTGTGCCCAAGTTCTTCCTTCTGAAGGTGACAACAGGGGGCAAAACGCCAGCTGCACTTTTGTCCACTGGGTTCATCTTGGAGTCAGATTCCTATCAAATTCTTGTCATTTGGAAAGCTTCAGATGCTAGTTTCTTCTATTTCTTTTAAAACATAGAAGTTTTCTTTTTTTTCTCTTTCTCTCTCTCTTTTCTTTTTTCGTTTTTGCTGACTACCTACTCATCTGTCAATACAGAAGTTTTCCAGGCCAGGCACAGTGGCTCACGCCTGTAAAGCCAGCGATTTGGGAGGCTGAGGTAGGTGGATCACTCGAGGTCAGGAGTCTGGGACCAGCCTGACCAACATGGTGAAACCCCATCTCTACTAAAAATACAAAAAATTAGCTGGGCGTGGTGGCAGGCGCCTATAGTCCCAGCTACTCAGGAGGCTGAGGCAGAATTGCTTGAACCTGGGAGGCAGAGGTTGCAGTGAGCTGAGATCATGCCATTGCACTCTAGCCTGGGCAACAAGAGCGAAACTCCGTCTCAAAAAAAAAAAAAAAAAGTTTTCTAAATAAAATGCTGAAGACCTGTGGTGCCCATGTTAAAAGGACTCCCTTCTATCCTCAAATATTTGTCCTCATCTGTGCCAAGCACTGGGGACACACATGGCTGAGCAGGGCATGCACTGTCCCTGACATGCAGAATCGATTCCTTCACTTTGCTCATGGGTCATGTGTCCATCGAGTACCTCGTATGTGCCAGGCACTGTGATAGGCTAAGGATACAGTGACAAGAAGGAGAAACAGGGCCCTTGCTCACTTTCGCCCTGTGTGTTGGCCAGGCTACACAAACAATTGCCCAGGGGAGCTATTTCCAAAATAGAGGTGCCTGATCCCTTCCATATAGGGGCCTCATATATATATATATTTGGGAAAAGAATTGCCCGCGTGGTGCTGATGTGTACTTCTAGGTGACAATTACTGGTGGACTGGAAAGACAGATGAGCAAGCAGGGAGGAATAACTGGGAGACAGGCCAGTGCTGGGAAAGATGTTCAGGGAAGAATGGAGTGTGGCTTGGAGAGACAGTCTAGCGCAGGGTGAAGACCGCACAATCTCCGACCAGACAGCCTGCTCTGCCACCTCCCAGCCGTGTGATTTGGACAAATCCCTGCGCTCTGCATTTCTCTTTCCTCCTCTGTAAAACGGATGTGATAATAGTACCTACCTCACAGAGCTGTTGGAAGGATTCCATGAAATAATACATATGGTGACCTTAGAACTGTGTCTGGCGCATGAAAACACAGTGTATTGCATAAGTGTGTGCTGCCGCGGTTACCGCTACTGCTACTACTACTACTATTATCACTATTATTGGAGGGAAAGCTTCCAGACACAGTGAGACCTGAAAAATGAGTAGGAATTATCTAGAAAAGGAGATAGAGAGGATGGACCAAGAGGGAACATTGTCTGGAAATACAGCTTGGTCTGCTGGAGCCCGGCGTGTGAGGTGGAGAGAGGCGGGGAAGGCGTTGAAGGCAGATCATGAGAGGGGCCCTGTGACTCATGCTGGAACATCTGCACTGATCTAGAGAATGGCGGGGGCATTAGAGGCCCTTGGGATCTGCCGAGTTGCTGCCGTGTGAGTGTCTGCAGATGCGTGTATGAATGTGTGCAGGTGTGTGTGTGTGCGCGCGCATGTGTGTGAACTGTAGGGTGCCCAGCACCAGCGCCCCTAGGTCCTCCTTGGCAAGATCCACTCCATTACTCATTCACTCCACAGTTTAAAGACCTCAATCTTTCCCCAGCGTTGAATCAGTTGTTTCCAACTCCTTAGCCTGGCATAGTGCCAGGCTCCCACCCTCACCTGTTAGCATTTCCTACCACCCCAGGTGGGGGCCCTCTTACGTGGGCTGCAGAGACACCAGATGCCACCATTTCTAGACATCCCTGAGAGCCCCGCCTTTGCCCGTGCTGGCCGACCCTCTGGGATGCCCTACCCTAGTCCAGCTGCCCTCTGCCAAATACAGCATAGTGGTTAGGAGGGAGGGCTCCAGGGCCAGACTCCCTGGGCCTGAATCCTGGCACTTAGGATTCTCGTCGCTTCACCTCTCAGCCTCAGTGTTCTCATCTGAAGCAGGGAGACTGGCGGAACCTCCCTCCTGTGGCTGCGGTGAGGAAGGAATGTGATCTGAACACAGCCTGCCTGTGACCTGGTGGGTCTACACTAGCTCATGGGCACAGCAGCACATGCCTCATTCCCTTACCCAAAGTCCAGCTCCTCCATCTTCCTGACCACTCACAGTGCACTGGACACTGTGGTGGGCACTGGGGGTGGGGGCGGCGGGGTTCAAGGCAGACCCTGCCTACCTGGAGTTCATGTCTAATGTGGGGCTGGAGAGCGGAAACAAAATGACAAGTTCTGACATCTATATAACACTCACCACGGTTCCCTGTGCATGGTAGGTCCTCAGGTTGGAATTCAGAAGACATCTACTGACTGTACCCAAATTGGGGCCAGGGAACTCTCACATTCATTATGTCATCCCCCCATGATCCTTTGAGATAAGTGCACAAAGCTCATATCCTTTGAGGAAGCTGAGGCCCAGAGAGGTTAAGTGACTAGCCCAAGGTCCGACAGCTACTCAGTGGCAAAGCTAGGAGCCAAATCTAGGTCTGCCTAATACCAAAACCCCAAATCTCACCCATGGGCCATGAGGATCCAGGGGTAGGAGCAGCAAGCAGGAAAGATGCTGGAAGGAAGTTGCTTTGGGAACCATCCCCCAAAAGGCTGTAGTGCAGGAACTTCCCAGTGTCACACTGACCAGCCCTGTCACCAAGAGGCCACCTGCCTTCTTCTTCCCTCTTTCCAGTTTCCAGCCTCACATGCCGGGGACAGCTGATAGTTGACCTCACTTCTGGTTACCATAGCCAAATGGTTAATGGTAATTAATTCAGTTTGTTTGGCAGGGGAATTAAAGGCTTGGCTGTACTAACGATCTTAAGTTAACATAGCATTTACGCTAACTGGAGGCAGAGACATGCCTTCTCCTCTAAATGAAGAATCAGTTCTATTAATAAGACTACATCTCTCTAGGTAATGAGCCTGGCAGATAGATGGTTTGCTGCCAGAGAGGGAAAGATGACAAGGAAAGAAGCAAAATGATGACAGCAGAGAGGATGGCAACTTTTCAAAGGCTTCCCCGGGAGAAGTAGATTTGGAGAGCAGGGAGGAGTCTGCATTGGCCGACAAACCAGCACCGATGGCCAGATACACGAGTGAGGTCAACTTGGACCTTCTGGGTGTTTCAGCTCTGACTACAACTGTATGACTAAGCCCAGGCAGGAAAGGGAAACGGTCTTGTCAACTCATAGAATTGTGAGAAATGATCAGTTATTGCTGCTTTTGGCCACCGTGTTTGGAGAGACTGTTTTGCAGCAACAAATAACAATCATGGTGGAAGGCAAAGGAGAAGCAAAGGCATGTATTACATGGTGGCAACCAAGAGAACGCGTGCAGGGGAACTGCCCTTTATAAAACCATCAAAATTGGCTCAAGCCTGTAATCCCAGCACTTTGGGAGGCCGAGACGGGCGGATCACGAGGTCAGGAGATCGAGACCATCCTGGCTAACACGGTGAAACCCCGTCTCTACTAAAAACACAAAAAACTAGCCGGGCGAGGTGGCGGGCGCCTGTAGTCCCCGCTACTCGGGAGGCTGAGGCAGGAGAATGGCGTAAACCCGGGAGGCGGAGCTTGCAGTGAGCTGAGATCCGGCCACTGCACTCCAGCCCGGGCAACAGAGCAAGACTCCGTCTAAAAAAAAAAAAAAAAATAAATAAATAAATAAATAAATAAAACCATCAAATCTCGTGAGACTTATTCACTATCATAGAAATAGCACGGGCAAAACCTGCCCTCATGATTCAATCACCTCCCACCACGTCCCTCCCACGACATGTGGGGATTATGGGAGCTACAATTCAAGATGAGATTTGGGTGAGGACACAGCCAAATCATATTAAGTTCCAACACTTCTCTCCCATCCACTCTCCACTCCCAGGTTCAGCAATTTCTCTCTGAGTTCCTTCTCTTGCCTTCAGAGTCCTGCTGCTGCTACAGTCCACTGAGAAAAGGTGAGCTCATGTCCCAGGAGCAGTGAACCACTCCAGGTGCCCCAGGCTCGGCAATTCACTCTCCCAGCCAGCCCCTCCTACAGGCAGTCCCTGCTGGCAGATCTGTCCAAAACCAGCATTCTGCCCTGGAGACCTCACCTACCCAAGGCCAGGAGCAGGGGCCCTCAAGCTTTTCACTGCCTTGCACAGAAAGGATGACACTGGAAGCATGACACACTCCCAAGGGTGTCTGTGTGTGGTTGAATGGTGAACTCCCAGAAGATATGTCCACCCAGAACCTGTGAATGTGACCTTATCTGGTAAAAGGGTCTTTGCAGATATAATTAAGTAAATGATCTTGAGATGGGATCACCCTGGAAGAGAGTGGGCCCTAAATCCAATGACTGTCTGTCCTTATGAAAGAGAAGACAACAGGCAGAGACTGGAATGATGTGTCTACAAGCCAAGGAATGCTAAGGACTGCTGGCAGCCACAAGAAGCCGGAAGAGACAGGAAAAATCCTCCCCTAGAGCCTTCAGAGGGAATGTGGGCCTGCCGACACCTTGATTTTGAACTTCTTCTCCCCTTCATTCCCACTTGAGAAAGTGCATCAGGATGCAAAAGCCAGGGTCATTATTACAGGATGGTCCATCTTGCATCTACTGTAATGTATGTACAAAAAATAATTTTCCAAAGTTTGATGATGATTTTTCTTGATTTTTAAACTATTTTTAACTTTTAACTATTATTTCTAAGAACTGGGAACACATTTTGCAAGGCTCATGGCCCCTGGCCCAGAACCTCTGTCCCGGGGAACGAGCTTGTGAAGGGGTTTCTGTCTGTGTCAATAATCCATGCTCACCTTTCTCCTGAGCCATCTCCTGCAGACAGAAGTAGATGACTCTGGCTCCCAGGCTGAAGCCAATCAAGGTGACAGGTCGCCGGCCCTGAAGGGAAAAAGGACACAGGTGTCTGGAGGGAATACAGCCAGTTCTAGCAAAACATCAGGCCTGAGGAGGGCAGCCTTTGCACATTCCTTACTACCTGATTCTCATCTAATGAATCATGCATGTGCTGTTGCGGTCCCTGAGCTCTGATGTCTTAATCAGCAGAGTCAGGACCCTCATTTATGCAGGAGTGCACCTGCTGCTGAAATTGGCTTCCTCCAAGGCCAACAGGCAGCCCCTGGCTGGGTTAATTCCCTTTCATCTCAAACCATTACCCAGCCACCATCTCATCTTCCTCAGGAGACGGGGCTAGTCAATTACAAGAGCAACTTCCCTTGGACTGATCTGCCTTGTGGCAAATGGCTGCAGTGCTGCGGGACCCCTTCTGGAGCTGGGGAGATTAGACAGAAGGCACCCCCGGGTGTGAGGGGTAAAAAGGCAAGAGTGACAAGGGAGGGACAACTGTTCTGTTTCTAGATAGGAAGGTGGGGCACAAAATATTGGCTCTAAGTGACAAGATAAGGTAGTAAGTCAGATGGAAAGAGGAATTTTCTGACTCAAGGACTTGTAAAAAAGGCAACTCATTATGTGAAGACTCTAAAGAAAATGAAAGTTATCTGGGGGTGTCTGGGTACAAGCTTACACGGAAGGAGATGAGGGGAGTGGATGAACTCTGGATGCCCAGCCTGGTTTTATCAGTCTATTCCTTTTCCTTGGTTTTGTGCCAATGCACGTATTCCACACCCCCACACCACTCCACTTACCACAGTAGAAAATCCTTTGTTAAACAGTATTCAAATCCCGCAGGAGCTTTGTGCCAACCCTGCTGGCTGCTGCCCAATATCATTCTCCCCTTTGTCCTTTACTCCTGAGTTTGCCTGGGCATGCGGCCACCCAGCCAAAGACGAAGTCTCCCGGACTCCTCCATAGCTGGGGGTGGCCACAGGGCTGAGACTTAGCCAAGGGACTGAAGGCAAGCAAAAGATGTGACTTCTAGGCATACTCCTCATCCCTACTTCCCTACCTCCCACTGTCTGAAACACACACGTAATGTGGGAAGATCTGTCTTGGACAAGAGAGAAGCCCGGTCAGGCACGGTGGCTCACACCTGTAATCCCAGCATTTTGGGAGGCCAAGGCGGGCGGATCACTTGAGGTCAGGTGTTTGAGACCAGCCTGGCCAACATGGTTAAACCCCATTTCTACTAAAAACATACAAAAATTAGCCAGGGGTGGTGGCAGGCACCTGTAGTCCCAGCTACTCGGGAGGCTGAGACAGGAGAATCAGTGAACCTGGGAGGCAGAAGTTGCAGTGAGCTGAGATCACACTACCATACTACAGCCTGGGTGATAGAGCGAGACTCCGTCAAAAAAAAAAAAAAAAAAAAAAGAGAGAGAGCGAGAAGCCCAGTGCTCAGGATGAGAGGCCAGGAGAGTGAAGGAGGCTGGACTTCCAATATTACGAAGCTGCCCATGTAGGAGACAGAATAATGCCTTCCCATGGATGTCTTCATCCTAATCCCTGGAACCTGTGAATGTTGCCTTGTACAGCAAAGGGCCTTTGTTATTTATTTATTTATTATTTATTTTATTTTAATTAATTTTTTTTTTGAGATGCAGTCTTGCTCTGTTGCCTAGGCTGAATGAAATGCAGTGGTGTGATCTCAGCTCACTGAAACCTCCACCTCCCGGGCTCAAGCGATCCTCCTGCCTCAGCCTCCTGAGTAGCTGGCACTACAGGTACGTGACATCACACTCAGTTAATTTTTTTTTTTTTTGTATTGTTAGTAGAGACAGGGTTTCACCATGTTGGCCAAGCTGGTCTCCAACTCCTGACCTCAAGCGATCCACCCGCCTCAGACTCCCAAAGTGCTGGGATGATTAGGCGTGAGCCACTGCACCTGGCCTATTTATTTATTTTTGAGACGGAGTCTCACTCTGTGTCGCCCAGGCTGGAGTGCAGTGGCACGATCTGGGATCACTGCAACCTCTGCCTCCCAGGTTCAAGTGATTCTCATGCTTCAGCCACCTGAGTAGATGGGATTATAGGTGCACACCACCTCGCCTAGCTGATTTTTGTATTTTTAGTAGAGACAGGGTTTCACTATGTTGGCCAGACTGGTCTTAAACTCCTGACCTCAGGTGATCTGCCCACCTCGGCCTTCCAAAGTGCTGGGATTACAGGCATGAGCCACTTGTGCCCGGCTGGCCCTTTGAGACAGGGTCCCATTCTGTCATTCAGGCTGGAGTACAGCGATGCAATCACAGCTTACTGCAGCTTCCACCTCCTGGGCTCCAGTGATCCTCCCACCTTAGCCTCCCAAACAGCTGGGACTACAGGCATAAGCCACTACACCCAGCTAACTTTTGTATTTTTTGTGGAGACAGGGTTTATCGTGTTGCCCAGGCTGGTTTCTTGGGCTAAAGTAATCTGCCTGCCTTGGCCTCCCAACGTGCTAGGATTATAGGCATGAACCACCTCACCCACGAGGCCAACAAAGGATTTTTGCAGATGTGATTAAGTTTAGGATCTTCAGATGGGGAGATGATTCTGGATTATCTGGGAGGAGACAAGGTCATCACAAGCGTCCCTATAAGAGGGAGGCAGGAGGCATCAGTTAGACAGAAGGTGATGTGATGATGGAAGCTGAGGAATAGAGAGATTTCAAGGTGTTACACTGCTGGCTTTGACGGTGAAGGAATGGGGCCTTTGAAAGCTGGCAAAGGCAAGGAAAGGGGATCCTCCCTAAGGCATGCATTTTTGCCTTTTGACCTCCAGAGCTGTAAAATAGTAAATCTGTTTTCAGCTGGTAAATTTGTGGTAATTTGCTACAGTGGCAGTAGGAAATGAACACATCAGCTTGCCCCAGATGCTGACACCCAGACTGTTACTTGGGAGAGAACAAACTTCTATCTTGTCTAAGCCAATGCCACTTTGGCCTTTGCCTTAGAGTCAAGCCTGCCAAAGGACTTTTCTGTTTCTTTTGACAAAGACACAGGGATTGAAGGCGGTGGCCAGTTTCTCAAGCAGTTTACCTGCATGGCAGGAACTGCTAGTTGTTGTCCCTCAGCATCCATCCTCCCTTTTTTTCCATAGTAATTGAATTTCAGCTGGGTTTATCGTCACTTAGAATAAGTACTGTATTTCCCAGCTTCTGTGGCAGCTAGGAATGGTCATGTCACTAGGCTCTGGCCAGCAAGACACCAGCTGAAATGTTGTACGGCTTTGTTGTTTGTTCTTCAGTTCTTCCTTTCTCCTGCTCCCTGGAGCTCAGATGATGCCATCTTGGATACAAGGTCAAGATCACAGAGCAACAAGGTAGCAGGAACCTGGGCCTCTGCACCACGGCAGGCTGTTAGGCAACCTTGCTAGGCTTCTCCAGGAAAATAAGCTTCTACTTTGTTTAAGCCATTGTTATTTTGGGTTTTCTCCCACTTCCAGCTAAAACAAATCCTGACAATGCAATCATTTCTGGGACTATTTCTCAAGCTTTTGTCTCCATTTACTCGAGTTTATTTTGAAGGGGATGGTTTTATTCTGTTGGTAAGTACATCTTTACTAGATTCAAATTTAAAAAGTATTATGATGATGTCTCTTCCCAACCATTTTACACGGTATTTAAACCACCGAAGATGACCTCACAAAGTAGCTTTACACTTCTGGGAAGGAACACCAGGCTACCAGCATGTGGGAATTCCACTGGTGGCCAGCTGAGGCACCTGGTCTTATTCACTTTACTGGCTTCACTGCAAACTGAGTCAGCGGTTTCCACTGAAGTATCGCCCCAGTGAGCCCAACGATTATCCTCAATGCTTGAATGAAGAGTTGCCACCCAGGAGCCACTTTTGCTTCTGCCAGAGTCCCCCAGACTTGTTCCTACCTGCAGATGCCCCTGTTATTCAGTGCTCACCTACATACCTGCTAGAGCTGCAGAGTCTATAATTGCTACTGTTCATCCTAGGACACATTCATTACTTGAACTGGAGGGGCAGCAAGGACTCCTCATCTCCCCAAAACCATTGGGTCACCTCCAAGTAGCCTTGCCCCTCCTCCAAGTAGCCTTGCCTCTAAGGCTGATGTCTGTGAACAAGTCAGCCCCTGACTTCCCCTCTTGCCCCATGCCACGCCCACACAGCCATTCCCAGGTACCTGCTGCCGGGAAAGCAGGATGTGCGCCAGGTGCTTGCCAACCTCTGCTGATCGATGGAGACACACCCCCCAGGGGTTGTCGATGACATTGGCGACACTGAGGAGTGAGGCTGGCCAGGTCAGGGCAGCCACAATGCCTGGGGAGGTGAGATAGTGATGAAGGGAATGGCCCCCATCCTAGGGTCCTACTAGGGAAGTGACTGGCTAACAGATGCTGGAACGAATGCATGCAGTCTCTAACTTGGACCTGCAAGCTTGCCAAGTATTGTCGAACTGCTAACGAGCAAAGCAATCTGAAACTCATGAATTTCTGATATACGGACTCAATCCCTTCTGCTCAAGCCCTTGTCACGTATGAGAGGGCCCCAATTCGTCTCCACACCTTGTACCCTCCCACTTTGCCTCATAACTCTGCAGTGGGGCCCCCTGCCCTGCCCATCCCCTCTAGACTCAGTCATATTACTTGCTTTTGCCAAAGACATTAGTAGATGTGAGGCTTAAAATAGACTCGTGCATTAGGGCTAGCCTCTTGTGCTTCCGTCATTGACATGGGCTTGCCTGCTCATCCCAGCAGGAGGATGAGAGACAAATGGAGCAGAGCCGAGTAGCCTCAGACAAGGCCAGCACTGATTGGTGGATGGTCAGCTGACCCATAGGCCCAGCTAAGATCCGCCAACTCCAGCATCCTGAACTTTACAGTAAACACCCCACGGAGTTTTGGGGTGGCTTGTCGCGCAGCAATAGCTGACAGACAGATCATGCGACTGGCTGTTTACCTGTCTTCTCTCCATAGGGATCATAAACTTCTCCCAGACAGGAATGCGGCCTTAACCTCTCTGTGTTCCTAGAGTCCAGCACGGTACATGCCCTGGGGGCTTTGGGCATGTAAAACTATGCTCCCACTGTAGGATGAAGGCAGTGGGCATGCTGTTGTTGTGGGGCAGGTGGGGGTGCTTACCAGACAATACTGTGTACTTTAGAGCCTCCTGGGCCACCATGTTGGCGAGACCACTGAGGATGGTCTCCAGGGCGTTGCCGAGCTCCATCAGGTACTTGGCTTCCCAGGCCAGGCAGTACTGCTCACGGCTGTGAGCCAGGGCGGCCCATGGGGCACTGAAGGTGCCTGGGGAGATCACAGGTAGGTGAAGTCTCTCTTGTCTGTGGCAGAGGATGCCCCACCCCATCACCCCAAACAGGTAGCACCAGGACCACTCTCCCTTGTTGGAAGACAAGAGGTCCACCCCCTGCCAATGAGTGGCAGCTGTCAGCAGAGCTAACGGAGCTCTGTGCAGCCCAGTGAGTCAGCAGGCTGGGCTCGCATCCCAGCTCCTGCATTCACTAGAAGCCACGTGACCCTGGGTACATCACTATCTCACCTTGAGCCTCGCTTTGCTTCTATGTGAAGTGGGAAGATGGTTTATCTCCCTTCATAGGGTAGGCATAAGAATGAAGTGTGTTTGAACTATGATATATATAAAGGGTTATTTTCTCTCATGCTGAAAGAATTCTGACATTAAGCTGCTCATGACATACAACGAGAGCACACAATGGGACCAGCAGTGCGGCGCCGTGAGTCTGCGGCATCTTGATTTGACAAACATGGCCTGGGAGATAGCTAGAAATTTGGGGAAGAGGTGTTTGAGCCCGGCTCTGTTATCATCTTCCTGGCTCATCTAATTTTCCTGAGCCTCAATTTTCTCACTGAGAAAATATAAATATCAAATGACCCACGGGAGGAGGATGAGAAAGCACCACTGTAGCGGTCGATGCCAAGTCGGAAAGTATAACCATGACACCTGCCTCCCTCATCCCCTCCTTCCTTGCCCACCTGGCTGCCTTCAGGATAGGAGCACAGAGGGGTCCCTAATCTGGCCCCCATGCATTTCTGCTTGTGGCCCAAGTGGTTTTTCTTTTCTTTTTTTGAGACAGAGTTTTGCTTTGTTTCCCAGTCTGGAGTACACTGGCACCATCTTGGCTCACTGCGACCTCTGCCTCCTGGGTTCAAGTGATTCTCCTACCTCAGCCTCCTGAGTAGCTGGGATTATAGGCACCCACCACCACACCCAGTTAATTTTTGTGTATTGTTAGTAGAGACGGGGTTTCATATTGGCCAGGCTGGTCTCGAACTCCTGACCTCAAGTGATCCACCCGCCTCGGCCTCCCAAAGTGCTGGAATTATAGGCGTGAACCACTGCGCCCAGTGCAAGTGACTTTTTCAAAACACAAATCTTCTCCCACTCCTGCCTAAAACTCTTCATGAGCTCCCAGATCATATATCAGTTCCCCTAGATTACTACCACTTGTCCTTGAGATTCCAGTCCAATTGCCTCTTCCATGTGGAAGCCTTCCCGGCTCCTCTGACAAATCAAATGCACCCTCCACTCTTCCCATAAGTTCTTATCACGTCTGTAATTATTCACTATTTTCACATCCTGTTTGACATGTGCCTCTCCTACAGTCTGTTTTATCAAACACTGTATTCCCAAAGCCTGTTGATGTGACACACAGTAAGTGTTCATTAAACACCATGTGGGAATAGAGGGGTGGAGACAGCTTCCTGGGGCGGCCTGCAGGTTCTGAGCATCCACCTCAGGCCTCTACCTGCCTGCCCCAAAGCTCATCCTTACCTGCAGGGTGCCACGTCTGCATGAGGACAACCCTGCAGCTGCTCCCCTCCCTCTGTGGGGACCCTGTCTCAGCTCAGCAACAACTTAGGGATCAACTGCCTCTAATTATGGATAAGGTGATAGTCAGTCCCCAGAGAGGAGATGGGCCCAGGACAGCGAGGAGCACGGGCTTGATGTCAGCCTGGGTTCCGAACCCAGCTCGACGGCTTCCACTGGTGTGACTCACAGCAAGGCACAGTGTCCTTCTGACCCTTGGTTTCCACATTTGTAAGGATGGAATAATAACATCTGACTCACAGGTGTGGTGGGGATCACAGGAGATGCTGCATAAGGCGTTGTATACTTTGGGAGGCTGAGGTGGGTAGATCACAACGTCAAGAGATCGAGACCATCCTGGCCAACATGGTGAAACCCCGTCTCTACTAAAATAAAAAACTAGCTGGGTATGGTGGCACGTGCCTGTAATTCCAGCTATTCAGGAGGCTGAGGCAGGAGAATCGCTGGAATCTGGGAGGCGGAGGTTGCAGTGAGCCGAGATTGTGCAACTGCACTCCAGCCTGGTGATAGAGCAAGACTTCATCTCAAAAAAAAAAAAAAAAAAAAAAAAAAAAAAAAGAAAGAAAGAAAGAAAATAAAAAAATAAAAATAAAAATAAAAAGGCGTTGTATAAACTGTAAAGTGCTCTACTGCATTGTGCTGTCCCGTGGGCAAGAATATAGGCTGTGGAGCCAGACAGAATGGGGGTGAATCCTGCCCCTGCCCCTGACTAGCTGGGTGACCCTGGGCACCCCTTATGAGCCTCAGTTTCCTCATCTGGAAAATGGGAGGGCGAATGATGGCCACTTCCCTGGACTGAAGTGAGGAGCTAAATGAGCCAGTGCATATGAAGGGCTTGGTCGTTGGCTACAAAGTTTTTATCTTTATTGTACATAATCAAGATGAATAAAGGGGTAGGCCAAAGAAAGTCTGGTTATTCCTATCACATGGAAAAAGCAACCTTGTGATGATAAGGCTTCTTTTCCTGGCTCTCGAGGAGGTAGGAATACATGATATTTTTTCCTTCTGAAACTTTCTCTAGCTTGATTATATTTCTTTTACCCAGTCCTTTCCCTGGGTGCCTCACCACACTAGACTGCTGGAGATCCGTGAAGACTTTCCCCCTCCACAAATGAACTTGACCTTTAACCTGGGGCAAACTGAACAAATGGGGGCAAAATGAAGAAAGGACTTTGCTTTCCATGCCGGCCAGACTTGCAAATTCCTTTACCTGGGCTCTTGTTCTTGCTCCCTCCTGTAGCACGGTAAAATGAAAACAAATGAAAAGAAACCCTGGGCATTGGATCAGGAGACCTGGGTTTGAATTCTGCATCTGCTACTCTCCTGCCAGGGCTCCTCTAGGGTTCCTCTTCCAACAGTTCAGGGTCGGAAACAGCCTCACCTCAGAGGGTGGAAGTGAGGTTTCTAGGAGGTAACCATACCAAGTTCCTACTGTGCTGGTAAAATGCCAGACTCAGGGTAGGTGTGAAGGAGGCGCTCACTGAACGCTAGTGACCTCTGAGCATGGGTGGGGCCTGGCGGTCACGCACCAATAAGACCCTGGCGCCTGGTGACACCTCTAAACGTTTGTTGCTGGCTTTCTTCTGCGTGGTTTGGCAGATCTGCGACTTCTGTCCTCAGGTCAGAGGCTTGGGAACCCAGCAGGCTCCGGGCGGGGCGTGCCTGAGTGGCCAGGTTGGGACGTTTAGGATTCCTGCGCCCACCCTGCTCTTTCTCTAAGGGATGCAGTGTTTGTTGTTTGTTGAGCCTCTCGCTGGGCCCTTGCAGGGGTCAGCCAAGCAACAAGTGGACCATGGTGTGAGTCCTCAATGCCACCCTGGCTAGAATCCCCCAAAATATGCACGTTCAAATTAGAACAGCAAAGGGAACTAAGGTTTGCGTCATGCCAACGAGAAACCACGTGATGTTCATGCATTTCCTCACTTAATCTTTGCAGCATCCTGAAAAGGTGGCAACAATTCGTTCCACTTAACAAATGAAGTAGCTGAAATACAGAGAAGTTACATAACCTGCTGAGGTCATGTAGCCAACACATACTGATGTCTCACTCACGTGCTTAAAGTCCTTTGCTATCTTCCACTTGCTCTGAGGACAAATACAAACTTCTTGCCACAGCTCACACGCTCCTGCATGGTCTGGCTCCACCCACATTCCTGCCTTCTGGCTCCCTGCTGCAGCCATCCTGTGCTCTTTTGGTTCTTTCAAACCACTGGGCCTTTGTACCTCCTGTCCTTTGGCTTGGAATACACTTTCTGCTCCTGGTTTCTTGGGCTAACTCCCAGCTAGCCCTTAGCCTAAATGTCACTTCCTTCAGAACCTTCCCCAGAAAAAACCCTGTGCTTCCCCTATTGTGCCATCCATAAAGCTCCCATTTAGTTACTTGGTCTGTCTTCTATCTTAGGCTGTACGTTCTGTGGGAGTAGAGGCCATGGCTGTGCTGCTCACTGCTGAATTCCTAAGACCTGGTTCAGGTGAGTACAGCAGTTTATAAATACTGCTACATGGACAGACAGGTGGATGGGTGGATGGATTAATAGATGGGTGGGCAGATGGGTGGGTGGATGGGTGGATAGGGAGAAGGGTGGATGGATGAATGGATGGGTGGGCACATGGATAGATAGGTAGAAGTGTGGATGGATGGATGGGTTGATGGGTGGGTAGACAGGTGAGTGGGTGGACAGGTAGACAGGTAGAAGAGTAGATGGATGGATGGATAGATAGAAGGATGGTTAAATGGGTGGGTAGATGGATAAACAGGTGGGTGGGCGGATGGGTGAATAGGTAGAAGGGTGTGTGGGTGGATGGATGGATGGATGGGTGGATGGATGGATGGGTGGATGGATGAATGGGTGGATGGATGGGTGAATGGACAGGTGGGTGGGTGGTTGGGTAGGTAGATAGATGGATGGAGAGATGATGAGCAGGTAGATAGATGTGAGATGAAGTTACCTCACCTCTCTGAGCCTCAGTTTCTTCCTCTGCAAAATGGGGCTCCCCATCACTGCTCTCTAGCCCAGGTAAAAACCTAGCCCAGGATCTGGCCCAGGCCAGCCACTGCCCACCCCCCTCCACTTCTGGTCCTCCTGGTCCTCACGGTATTTGCCGGACGCGAGCCACCCAGTGATGGCGATGGTGATGTGCAGCTGCCTGCCCTCCGTCAGAGGCAGAAATGTGAACTCTTCAATGGCTCCCACTCGCTTCTTCATCTTGTATCCTAAAGACCCAGATCCAAGAAAGAGAATGGACATGACTGGGGCCCCGGGGAACATCAGGGTGGCTGTATGTGCTCACACATGCACACAGTGAGGGACGTCTGTGTGCCCTGCCCCTGGGAAAACATCCAACATTGTGTTTGAACTCATTAAGGTAGGTGCCATTATTGTCCCTGATTACAGACGAAAGCAAGAAGCTGCTGTTGAGGTTGGTCAGCCCCAAGTGGAAGAGCTGGTTTGGACCTCAGAGCCCGGGCTCTTATCCATTGCTCCGCCTTGGTTCTGTTTCTTTTCTCCTGCCCACACACTGCAGGGGTAGAACACACTCCACTTAGTAATGGCGATTCAAATAGACCAAGAGTCTCAGCAGGGGAGCAAACTCCTCTTGGGGAGTTGAGCAGGAATGTCTGTGCATGACGGGGTTGAGGGAGTGAGAGGGGGGCTGCTGCTGACAGGTATCATTTGGAAAAACTCCCCCAGGTGATGCTGCTCAGGGAAGGATAGCCATGTTCTCTCCAAACACGAGGAAGCCCAAGCATGGAAACTTCTGGATGGTGGAAGCAGGTTCAGATGGGGCCTTTCTCAGGAAGTACACACAGTTGCATGGGGAAAAAGTCAGCTTCTCAAACTCGGCCCTGACCCTGACCCATGCGAGCTCTGGGAAGGCTGGGACCCAGAGTGAGAAAAGCCACGTCTCCTCTGTCTCCCAGGGAGCCACTGCTGGTGAGAATCCAGGCATGTTCTTTTAGGAACTGGGCCGCCCTGGCTGAAAATTCCTCTGAACCCATCATTCCTTTTGAACCTTACCTGTCAGGCCAGCTCCAGCTGCACCAAACAGCGAGGTCATGATGGCTATGCCGGCTGCTGAGCCCAGAGCCGCCGCCCCCGCGCTGCCAATAATCGTCGCTGCTCCAGCGGCAACAAGGGGTGCAGCGAGACCTCCGGTCACACCTGTGGGAAAAGCAGCAGTTTCAAGCGGGAGTAAAAATGTGGTGGCCGGGTGCGGTGGCTCACGCCTGTAATCCCAGCACTTTGGGAGGCCGAGGTGGGCGGATCACGAGGTCAGGAGATCGAGACCATCCTGGCTAACATGGTGAAACCCCGTCTCTACTAAAAATACAAAAAATTAGCTGGGCGTGCTGGCGGGTGCCCGTAGTCCTAGCTACTTGGGAGGCTGAGACAGGAGAATGGCGTGAACCCGGGAGGCAGAGCTTGCAGTTAGCCGAGATCGTGCCCGACAGAGCAAGATACTGTCTCAAAACAAAAAACAAAAAAAGTGTGGCTTGATGAGTTTTTACCCCTCAGCTACCTAATGCCTCCCATGGAAGCTTCTGACAGGGCTGATGAGCATACTGACTACTCACTGACTACCTACCGCATGCCAGGAGCCACCTCCCAGCTGAGCCCCTGCACTCTCCACTCTCACCCACAGCCTGGCATCATTTCTCTGTCTGCAAAACCCGGATCTGTGCCACCATCTCCAGCTGGACTCACCGATCACTGTTCCGCCTCCGACAGTCGCCAGGCCTATCAGGAGATAACGCTTCCATTTCCTCCGGTTTTCTTTCTTCTTCCGGGATGCCTCGGCCATTCTGAGGGAAAAGAGGGTGGTCTTTAGGGCCAGTTGTGCCCAGGATCCCTTGAGACATCCCCACCACACCAACCCTCAAACAGGGGCCAATGCTGGGTAGCTACTCTGCCACTCAGAGTAAGGGACCAAAGTCACCCTGAGCCCATTGATGGTTTAAAAAGCTGAAAACATTCTAAAACCCAGCCGAGGAATCTCAGTGTATGGGATGTACTACTTACCCAATGGATCCATCCTAACAGGGTTGCAATTTGAATAATAAAAAGACAAAAAATAATAATAATAATAGCAAGAGAAGCACAAAAAAGATCTTTAAACAGATGGACCCAGAAGAAGCACAAAATAGATAATCACAGACTCCATCACCTCCCTCCTCCCCTCTCTTCTTCCCCACTCTGTCATCTGATCCCACCTCCCTCTGGGACATTGGGAAACCAATTTCCTTCAAAATGATCATTTTGAAGATGGGAGACCTTGGCCTTGGAGCAGTAGCTAGACTTGTTCAGACTTGAAATGGAAATGCTAAAAAATTTAGCAAAAGGAAAACATTTAGAGTGAATTGGGGTCAGGTGAGCCCTGAGAACTGATGTTGTGAGCACTCAAGAGTCAGGAAGCCCAATTTTCCTATTGGACATTCAGCCCTCAGCCCCTTTGCTGCGGCTGGAACGGAGAGGTTATTAAGTGGGAACTCTGAACTGAGGTTGGAGTCTGAACAATAACTCAGTGTGGAGTGATAGCAAAGCATGGTGATAATCAAAGAAGAAAAATGGTTAATCTTTACCGAGGGCTTCTTACATCTCAGCCACTGGGCTTTGCACTTCACAGGATTAATCTTATCCTAAGAAGCAGTATGGTTATTGTACCCATATTATAGATGAATTAAGGGATAACAGTCCCTACCTCCCCATGAACTGTGAGGCTCCAGTAATAGATTATCTGTAAAGCATTTAGCACAGTGGCAGGCACACTGAAAGGGCTTAGTACAATCAGGGCTGATGTCATCACGATGCTGCATCTCCCCAAGCCTCAGTTTCCTCTTTTGTCAAAAGGCAGATACTAATTTCTACCTCATAAAGTTGTTGGTTTGTAAGGATTAATTTCATTCCTTCTTCGTCCATTCAGTCAATAAAGTTATATTGAGAATGGATGATGTGCTGTGTTTTTGCATCTCCGTGAGCAGAAAAATGTATGTGCTCAACCAGTACCTGTTTCTTTCCCATCTCCCTCCTCATGAACCATACACTTCATTGAGAAATAGCTCCTTCTCCAGTCATCTAAAAGAAATGGGATTTGGCCAGGTGCCAGGTATGGTGGCTCACTCCTGTAACCCCAGCACTTTGGGAGGCCGAGGCAGGCGGATCACCTGAGGTCAGGAGTTTGAGACCAGCCTGGTCAATATGGTGAAACCCCACCTCTACTAAAAACACAAAAATTAGCCAGGCGTTGGGGTGGGCACCTGTAATTCCAGCTACACAGGAGTCTGATGCAGGAGAATTACTTGAACCCGGGAGGAGGAGGTTGCAGTGAGCTGAGATTGTACCACTGCACTCCAGCTTGGGAATAGAGTGAGACTGTGTCTCAAAATACATACATACATACATACATACATACATACATACATACACACACAAAATGGGATTTCAGTTGGGCATCTGGGGACTTGCTGTGCTTTTTGGTTCCCTGCCAGTTCACCTCAACAGATTTTTTTCCTAAGCATCTCCTGGGTTTTGTAAAGCCCAGTGTTTCTCAGTCACTTCATTACACAGAAGCAGAAACCAATAGTAAAAATCTCTGTGCATATCATGATGCTGGTTTTCCACGATTGAAATTCACGTCATCGGTAGTGTGGGATGAGGCTGAACCACGTGCACCTAGCACAGTGGGAGGCAGGAGGGCCATCAAGATGGAGGGTTCTAATGTCAGGATTTAAACTCTGTGGATGTAGGCATGAATCCTACCTCTGCTGTTGTGGTAGCTGTGTCACCATTCTCCACATATTCAGTTATCCCTCTTACAGAAAGATTATGCATCTCTGCCCTGTTGAACTGAGTGGTCATAGGACCAGCTTTAGCCAGTCAAATGTAGGTGGAGGTGATATGTGTCACTTCTGGCAGAATCTTTTTTTTTTTTCCCTTTCTTTTTTTGAGACAAGGTCCGGCTCTGTTGCCCAAGCTGGAGTGCACTGGTGGGATCTTGGCTCACTGCAACCTCCACCTCTCAGGTTCAAGTGATCCTCCTGCCTCAGCCTCCCAAGTAGATGGGATTATAGGTATGTGCCACCATGCTTGGCTAATTTTTGTATTTTTTGTAGACATGGGGTTTTGCCATGTTGCCCAGGCTGGTCTCAAACTCCTGGGCTCAAGTGATCCACCTGCCTCAGCCTCCCAAAGTGCTGGGACTACAGGTGTGAGCCACCATGCCGGGACAACTGGCAGAATCTTTAAAGCTGGTGCAGGAAAGTGATTCATCTTCTTTCTCTCTGCCCCAAAACTAGCAATAATCTAGATGGGGTCACTCTGTCAGCCTGGGTCCCAGAACCAGGACAATGTGAATTCAAGCTACAGCCAATCTGCAATGGACACGTAGTATGAACAAGAAATACACCTTTAATCCTGTAAGCTGCTGAGACTTATTTGGGGGTCACTTGTTACGGCAGCAAAACCTAGCCTATCCCCACAATGGACAGAACCACTTAATAACTTTGTGACTATGCACAAATTATTTGTTACATCTGAGTTTCCTCAACCAACAAATGGGGATAATAACAGTACTGAATTTCCAGGGGTATTGTGAGGACTAAATGAGACAGAGACACTGAGACATAGTGACTACCATCCTGTAATTATTCAATATGTTTATTGCTGTTATCACTCTCTTCATTACTATTGTAAAAATTTCCTCCTCAACACAGGCTGGGGATATACTTTGACCCTTAACTGCTTTGACCCTTAATTGATAACTCTTAATTCAGTTTGAAGTGGAAGGCTGAAGATTACTGACTTTTGGTAGAGTTCAAGGCCGAAGAAAACATTCAAGTTGCTGACGATACATGATGGGAATGTGCAAATAGACAGGCGATGTGACACTGAGTCAGTGGCATCTTGATTCAACAAACACGGCCTGGAAATAGTCTGGAAATCTGGTGAAGAGGTGTTTGAGCTCAGCTCTGCCATGAACTTGCTGGATCATCTAATTTTTCTGAGTATTGATTTTCTTGCTTAGGAAATGTAACTATCAAATGACCCATGGACAGATGATGAGACGGCACACTGCAGTGGCCAGTGCCAAGTATTCATAGAAAGATATAACCATGACTACTTGCCTCTCTCTCCTCTTCCCTCCTTGCCTGCCTGGTTGCCTTCAGGACACTGTCATCTCTCCCCACTGTGACACTTACGCCCTCTGTGTCCTGAACCCTCTCTCCCCCTCTAGCTTCAACACTAATCACTTCCTCACTGACACATCACCCTTGGAAAATACTGAGCTGCCTCCAGTCACCTTCTGGTCCCTGGCCATCAAGGACCTTCCTGCCTTCCTGTGACTAGTTCAACATTACTCAACTTTCAGGAGTCAGCCAAGGTGGGACACATCCTCCGGAAAGACTGGCCAAAACCCCCAAGGTTGCTGAGATGCCCTGACTCTGGGCCCCCTAGACTCTGTGCCACATTATCCTGGAGTTCTACACCAGTGATTTGCAGAGAGTGGGCATCAGAATCACCAGGGGGTACCTGTTAAAAACATAGCTTCCTGGGGTCGAATCTCTGGGTCTAAGGATAAAGATTCTGTATTGGTAACAAGCTCCTCCTCCAGGGATTCTGCTGTAACTGAAGTTTGAAAATTGCTGAGCTAAGCTCTCACAGCATAGACCAAGCCATTTCCAACTCCCCACCCTCAGCAGCTTTCCCTGGTCTTGAAAACTGGAGCCTAATTATTCCAACAAGGATTTGAGGTGACCACCTTGTTGTGGTGATATACTCCCCAACTCACTGTCCACATCTCTGAAAACCAGAGAGGTACAGGAAGGACTGTTGGCTAAATACAAATATATAGGCTGGGCATGGTGGCTCTTGCCCGTAATCCTAGCACTTTGGGAGGCTATGATGGGAGGATCCCTTGAGCCCAGGAGTTCCACACCAGCCTGGGAACAGGGTGAAATCCTGTCCCTACAAAAATAAAAAAATTAGCTGGGCATGGTGGTACATGCCTGTGGTCCACCCTACTTGGAAGGCTGAGGTGGGAGGATCACTGGAGCCTGCGAGGTCAAGGCTGCAGTGAGCCACTGCTGCAGTGATCATGCCACTGCACTCCAGTCTGGGTGACAGAGTAAGACTCTGTCTCCCCCATCTCCCTGACAAAAAGTTTATAAGCATTTGTTTATTTGAAAAGAAGATATTTGGCCAGGCGTGGTGGCTCACGCCTGTAATCCCTGCACTTTGGGAGGCCGAGGTGGGCGGATCACGAGGTCAGGAGATCAAGACCGTCCTGGCCAACACGGTGAAACCCCATCTCTACTAAAAATACAAAAAATTAGCCAGGCGCGGTGGCGGGCGCCTGTAGTCCCAGCTATTCGGGAGGCTGAGGTAGGAGAATGGCGTAAATCCAGGAGGCGGAGCTTGCAGTGAGCTGAGATCGCACCACTGCACTCCAGCCTGGGCGACAGAGTGAGACTCCATCTCAAAAAAAAAAAAAAAAGAAAAGAAGATATTTTTTCCTAAAGTTACTTGGCCAAGGCACTCTCTCCTAACATTCAGCTGAATGGCAAATCTATTTCCCTGTTTAAGTATTTGCATGTTCTTAATAATTGTTTTGGGGGCCAGGCACGGTTGCTCGCACCTGTGGTCCCAGCACTTTGGGAAGCCGAGGCAGGCGGATCATGAGGTCAGGAGATGGAGACCATCCTGGCTAACACGGTGAAACCCCGTCTCTACTAAAAATACAAAAAATTAGCCGGGCGTGGTGGCGGGCATCTGTAGTCCCAGCTGCTCGGGAGGCTGAAGCAGGAGAACAGCGTCAACCCGGGAGGCGGAGCTTACAGTGAGCCGAGATGGCGCCACTGCACTCCAGCCTGGGCGACAGAGTGAGACTTGGTCTCAAAAGAAAAAAAAATTGTTTTGTACATAAAATAGCTTTCTCAGGCATCGTTCATTATTGCAGCACTACACTCTTACAATTACTTCAATTGTCTGATTGACTCTCTACACTGAAAGCAAAGGGGAGATGTTTGCTCTGAGTCACATTTACAATGCTAACACTCAGAGAACAACACGAAATCTGAATGACAGCCTTGCTCTCATCACTGACTGCCCGCTGATGAGACATTCAAAGGTCACCTTGAAAAGAAAGACGCGAACTTGAGTTGCCGTTTCCATGTGAGCTGCCCAAAGACAAAGGCTAAAACCACATGCAGATGTGGGCCAAATCCCAGGCTGAAGACAGAGATACTTGCTGAAGAGCAAGACGCCCACATTGCCTGTCTCACAGAACCACAAATCAGTCTTTCTGTCATCTTATCTCCTATGAGAAGGTGTTTCCTGTCCTTATCCTCACCACACCTTCTGTTTTTAAATCACTTTTTTTTTTTTGTGCTGACAGATAGAGATAGCTTATCACTGAGACGTCTACACACACTTTCCTAGTAAAGGCCTAGATGGCCCCATAAAATCATTATCTTTCTTGTTTTCTTCAGAATAAAGGAGAAACCCTGCCACTGCCAGGCAGGTCTTGAGGGACACAGTGAGAGCCATTCAGACTGGCCACGGTGGTCAAATCAGATGCTGCTGACCAGTCATGTGACCTTGGCTGAGTTGTGCCACCCCTCTGACTTTTTCTTTATTTGTGAAACACTTAGTGGGCTGTTATGAGGATCGAGAGAGATGGCATCTTGTGCCTACATCTAGTAGGCATTCAAGAAAAATCTGATGCTGGCAACGTTCTTATGATGTGAGCAGTATCTTTACTAATTTATTTATTTTTAACTGTAATTTTTTTCTTTTTATGAGATGGAGTTTCGCTCTCGTTGCCCAGGCTGGAGTACAATGGCATGATCTTGACTCACTGCAACCTCCATCTCCTGCGTTCAAGTGATTCTCCTGCCTCAGCCTCCCGAGTAGCTGGGATTACAGGCATGTGCCATCACACCCAGCTAATTTTTGTATTTTTAGTAGAGATGGGGTTTCACCATGTTGGTCAGGCTGGTCTCAAACTCCTGACCTCTGGTGATCCACCCGCCTCAGCCTCCCAAAGTGCTGGGATTAAGATGTGAGCCATTGCAGCTGGCCTATGTGAGCAGTATCAACCCCAGCAGCTCATTAGCTCACATCTGCTGAGACTCTACTATGTGCCAAGCACGGGTCCCAGCTTTTGATATGTGTTAAGTAATTTAATCCTCTCAACAACGCTATGACGGCGATACTACCATTATCCTCATGTAAGAGATGAAGAAACGAGACACAGGAGAGGTGAAGTCACTAAACAAGTGAGGGAAGCTGGGTGGCCTTAGGGCTCAGACGGGGACCCAGGAGCAGAGGGGTGGGATGAGTGGGACGTCACACTCTAGACCTCAGCTGCAAAGAGTCACCTTGGTGGGCCTAGTAAGGAACTCACCTCCCAGAAACACAAAACCTTACAGTCAAAAGAAATCTACGTATCATTCAACCCCTTAATTGTCTAGGTAAACAACAAAAATGTGTGCTGGTGTCCACGGAGGGAAAGCCACGTGCCCAAGGCCACACAGAGGGTTAGAAGCAGAATCAAACTGAGAGCCAGGTTTCCTGGCTGAACAGTTGCTATGGCTTCCCTGGGTCTCAGATCCTTCCAGAGACCACAGAATCTGAGAGGTCTCCAAAGTCCCTAACATTGCATCAACAATTACATGTGTGAAGCCTTTTTCCAGGGAAAGGGTCTACACATAGACTGCAATAGGATCTATAATAGTCTATAAAAGGGTCTGTAATAACACAATTAGAACAGTATTGTTAACAACAACAAATAATATTTATGGACTAGTTACTCTGTCCCAGGCTCACCTGAAACACTTCACAGATATATGAACTCATTTAGGCCTCACAAGAACCCTGTGAGGAGGGCGCTACTGTTATCCCCATTTTACAGGTGAGGAAGTTGAAGCTCAGAGAAGTTAAATAATGCCCAAGCTCACGTGGCTCGTAAGTGGCAGAACTGGCCTGTGTTAGACCTTCTGGTTTATATCTTCCCTGACCAGGCATTGCTGGTATTATCAGAACAAATCGCTCCGGGTAATACCTTTCTCTCTGATAATAAGATTTCCAAATAATAACTGAGAGGTTCCTTTAATTTCAAGGCATATAAGATCCTATAAATTCCCGACATATCCAAAGAACCTAGGATGCCCTCGTGATTATGGTAATTGGCATGGATCCAGGTAATTCTATACTGACCCAACTCTAGGGGTCAAAGCTAGTATGTCTACAGGTTATTTCAACAAACCAAGTTTCCCCCTTTCTCAAGGAAATACCCCTTGTCTTTGCTCTACTAACTGTGGCATGAGGGTGGCTCTGGGTGTCAATTTGGCTTTAGGATTAAATTCTCAGGCGGGCTGACCTGGTGTAACCTGGCTGGTCAAAGAACACTACCGCAACTGAAACAAAATCCAGAGCTGGGAGACGTGCCTGGTGCCAGGAGCCTATGATTAGGCTGTGACTGAAATCGATTTATTGCTCTGGGATTAGATCCTGTGTAAAGTGTCTGCAGAGAGCTGAGCTCTGGCCAAGTTACCAGGATTATTTCCTTCTACACACTCTTGACCATATATAGACAGCAAAGCAACTCTACAACTGATGGGTCTGGGACATGTCGGGGAGGGGAGGACTCACATCTACCGAGTACTTGCTGTGTGCCAGCCCTGGGTCAGGCATTTTATAATGTGTGGACATTCATTCTTCCCAGTGATCCTGGGAGGGCACTATCCATATTCCTGTTTCATAGATAAGAATATTGCAGCTTAGAAAAGCAAGGCCACCCGCCCAATGTCAAGCAGTGGACAGGTATCAGAAAAGGAACTGAATCTAGGTCAATTGTGCCCTTGAACCAGGTGTCACAAGAGCCTGAGGTGGAACAGGGTGTCAGGGCCCCAGGATGTTAAAGTCACAGATTCAAGGCCCTTAGCAATCACTCGTTTCATCTTTTCTTTTTTTTTGAGACAAGAGTCTCACTCTGTCACCCACACTGGAGTGCAGTGGCACAATCTTGGCTCACTGCAACCTCCGCCTCCGTGGTTCAAGCTTTTCTCCTGGCTCAGCCTCCCGAGTAGCTGGGATTACAGGTGCATGCCACCATGCCCGGGTAATTTTTGTATTTTTAGTAGAGATGGGGTTTTATCATGCTGGCTAGGCTGGCCTCAAACTTCTGACCTCAAGTGATCCGCCTGCCTCAGTGTACCAGAGTGCTGGGATTACAGGCGTAAGCCACCGTGCCTGGCCCATTTCATCTTTTCTTCTTGCAAATGAAGTCAGAGGCCCGGAGAGGGCAAGTAGCTTGCTAAGGCCACCCAGCGAGTCAGGGCTATAGCTGGGACTCTGTCCAGGGCTCCTTTTACCTCACTATACCATCTCTTAAAGGGAGAAGGGGACTCTGTTATCTGCAAAGTACACTGAAGTGGAGATCCTTGGATCCTGATGGGGGTCGTAGGGTTCTCTTACTCAGATTCCTCCTCTTTGATTTCCTTCAGGCTCTCCAGGAACGTCTCTTCAAGGACATCCAGCTCCTCCAAGGGCACCTGGAGCAGGGAGGTCATGTGGCACACGAGGACTCTGGCCCGGGCATCATAGTGCCCTCAAAAGACAGAAACAACACCGGAAAAGAATCAGTTTAGGTTTTAAGGACAGTGATGTTAGCAGTGTAACTGATAAAACCCACACTGGAAATAGCCTAAATGTACAACTCCATGGGAGCCAGTCAATGAAAGAAAATGACACAGTTGCCTGGACAGAATACTACACAACTATTAAAATATTCAGCAAAAGCAAGGTGGGACTGGGTGCAGTGGCTCACTCCTGTAATCCCCGCACTTTGGGAGGCTGAGACAGGCAGATCGCTTGAGTCCAGGAGTTCAAGACCAGGCTGGGCAACATAGTGAGACCACCCCCCACCTCTACAAAAAAATACAAAAATTAGCCAGGCATTGTGGTGAGTGCCTGTGGTCCTAGCTACTCAGGGGGCTGATGCAGGAGGATCACTTGAGCCTAAGAGGTTGAGGCTGCAGTGAGCTGTGATCATGCCACTGTACTCCAGCCTGGGTGACAGAGTGAGACCCTGTCTCAAAAAAGAAAAAAGGAAGGTGGTATTTCTCACCAGTCAAATGAGCAAAGATCAGTTTTTAAAATTTCACAGCTGTGAAGGAGGTGATAAAAATGGGTGCTCAAAGACATTGCTGGTAGAAGTATGCACTGATATAAACTTTCTGGAGGGCAACTGGACAACACATATCAAAAACTTAAAAAAAATACATCTCCTTTGCCCCAGGAATTCCATTTCTGGAATTTTAATCTTAAGAAAACAACTGTAAATGCAGATGATATGTAGTAAATAAAGGCACTATGCTGTATTTATATGAAATTGGAAACAACCTGGAGATTTCCAGCATCAGGAAATTAGTTATAAACCACACTCATCCAGCTGAAAACCATGGGGCCATAAAAAATGATTCCCAAGAAAAGTATGTCATAACTTTCAAAAATAAGTTCTTACCCAGAAGAATTTATGGCTAAGAGAATTTATGGCTAAGTGGTGGTGCATGCCTATAATCCCAGGCACTTTGGGAGCTGACATGGGAGGATCACTTGAGCTCAGGAGCTCCAGATCAGCCTGGGCAACATAGCAAGATCCCATCTCAGTAATTTAAAAAAATAAAAATAAAAAAGAGACAGTTCTGTTTGAATATATAAATAAAGAAAAAGGAACATAAATGCTTATACAATGAAACAAAATTTTTAATGCATAGAAGATAGACTTGATAATATGTCATGAGGTCCCAACTAAGAAACAAAACAAAAAACAAATACTGCACAGGAAAAAAAAAATGAAGGAGGCTGAGTGCCTGTAATCCCAGCACTTTGGGACACTGAGGTGGGCAGATCACTTGAAGCCAGGAGTTCGAGACCAGCCTGGCCAACATGGTGAAACCCCATCTCTACTAAAAATACAAAAATTAGCCAGGCATGGTGGGGGGCACCTGCAATTTCCAGCAACTTGGGAGGCTGAGGCATGAGCCACTGCGCCTGGCTGACAATTCAAATTTAGTATCTTATGGTTCTGAAGGCCAGATATTCTAAAATCACAGTGTTAGCAAGGAGAGAATCTGTTTTCTTGCTTTTCCCAGCCTGCTTTCCATGGCTTGTGGCCCCTCCCTCCAATCACTCCAGCTTCTGCTCCCATGGTCACATCTCCTACTCTGACTTAGATCCTCCTGTCTTCCTCTTACAAAGACCTTGTGATTGCATTAGGCCTATCTGGAAAGCCCAGGATCGTCTCCCCATCCCAAGATGCTTAATGTAATCACACCTGCAAAATCCCTTTTGCCATGTAGGGTAACATATTCACAGTTGCCAGGGATTCGGATGTGAACATCTTTAGGGGCCATTATTCTATCACTTAACCCTTGACCTGGCTCAACCATCACCTCCTCTCTGAACCCTCTCTGCATCATTCCTTCCTTTGGGGGTCTCTGATCACTTATACAGGCCTCTCTCTCAGTATCTTCCCCTTTTGATTGTACTCATCATATCTTACTAGACTGTACGCTTAGTCATCTGTTTTTCCAACCCTGTACCTACCTGGGGTGTGACACTTAGTAAGAACTCAAAAAATGTTTACACAGTGATGAACCAATGAATAAACTCTTCTGATTTTTCGGTCAAATTCTCTGTGACTCAAGTACTATGACAGGCTTCCAAATTGAATCTTTTTGACAGAGAAAGTCACAAGGACCTGGCATTCGGCTACTCCGCACTCACCTTCCCGTGTGCCCTGGCCCCGTGAAGATACAAATTGTCTAAAACGCTAATTCCCCAGTCCAGCTGCCTATCAGCATGACCTGAGAAGCTTGCCAAAAATAGAGTTTCCTGAGTTCTGGTATAGGGGACCCTCTTTTCTCATTTACCATGATGCAGTCCCTGAAGTCTTGAAGTTTGAGGTTTCAGCTTCTACAAAAGAAATCAGTTCCTTCCTTGACCCAGGGTCCCCAGAGTGGAACAGGGTCTCTCTGGGCTGCCCTGCTGTCTCCCAGGATGAGGAGCTGTCTACGTGCTGGAGACAGACACCACGTGCTGTGGCTTGGGGTTATTAGGTTCAGCAAACTTCACGGAAAAAAGGAGTTCCTTGCTTTCCCCATAGGAGCAAAGACTACTGTGCCCACATGATAATTGGGTTGTAGAAACCAAGCTTTGGCTCTGACGATTAATTGGTGGCAATGATAATTAGTTGCTAATACATACTCCACTGGTCAAGGCTGCAGTGATTCACCTTCTAGCATGCAGGCTGCCAGGTGCACGTGTGATTAACACTCCTGTGGTAATCTCAGGCACGGGGCTTTGTATCTTAGCCTTGTGTACAGGTCATTTCAAGGACTTGGTGGCTGGGATGCTGGTCTTGGAGTCAGGGTTCGTAGTTCAAGGCATGTTCCTTCTGGAAGCTCTAGGAGCGAATCTCCTCGTCTAGAAGGCAGTAGGGAGGGGCAGAGTCCTGGGCTACCCAGGATACTGGCATTCTCTGGCCCAGGCTCTACTGCCAACATGCCAGGGGGCCAACTTGCTCCTTGAGAGCCAGTCCCAATAAAAGGTGCCCCATAGGCCAGGCGCGGTGGCTCACGCCTGTGCCTAGAATTCCAGCACTTTGGGAGGCCGAGGCGGGCCAATCACTTGAGGTCAGGAGTTCAAGACCAGCATGGCCAATATGGTGAAACTCCTTCTCTACTAAAAAATGCAAAAATTAGCCGGGTGTGGTGGTGCACATTTGTAATCCCAGCTACTCGAGAGGCTGAGGCAGGAGAATTGCTTGAACCTGGGAGGCAGAGGTTGCAGTGAGCCAAGATCATGCCACCGTACTCCAGCCTGGACAACAGAGGGAGGCTCCGTCTCAAAAACAAAATAAAATAAAATAAAAATAATAATAAAAAAGTGCTCCATCCACCCTGGGGCTCAGACCACAAGCCTGGGCATTGTTCTTAGTTCTTGTTTCCCTGTCCAGACATCTACCCCACCAGCTGATGCTGACTGCCGCACCTGCAAAACATATCCTGAGTCTGACCACTTCACTCCATCTCCACTGCCACCGCCACAGCCATCGCTCTCCAACCACCAGCCGCCTCACCACTTTCTTATCTTCCACTCTTGCCTCTGCACTCCATTTGCCAAACGGCAGCCACTGAGCTTCTTTAAAGTCATCGATCCGGTCGTGTTCTCTCCCTGGCTTACAGCTCTCTGACGGCTCCCCAGTGCACTTAGAATAAAGTCCACATTTCTTTCCATGGTCTGCAAGACTGCACATTATCCAGCCCCTTCCTGCCACCCTCTCCCACCTCACCTTCTACCCGGCCCTGCTTCAGGCACCAGCAGCTCAAGAAGCCAAGCTCATGGCTGCCTCGGGGCCTTCACACTTGCTGTTTTTGGTATCTGGGAAGCTCCTGCCCCAGATCTCTGCTTGGCTGCCCTTTCCCATCAGTCAGGTCTCCACTTAAATATCACCTCCTTAGAGGAGCCAGCGACTCCTGAATTAGAACAGCTCAGCCCCTAGTCACCCCATCTCCATGACCCCATTTCCCTGTATACGTTTATTGTCTGCCTTTCCTCATCAGAGTGCCTGTCCCACAAGGGCAGGGACCTTTGCTTTGTTCCTTGCTGTTCTCCCACTGCCTGGGACACTGCCTGGCAGTTAGTAGGTGCACAGTTAAGATGTGTTGAGTCATTAGCTGACCAAAGTTCTCTCTTGCCTGTCAGGGTTCTTTGCTGTGGCCACCTGCCCCAGGCAGCACAAAAGACCTTTCCCTGCCTCCCACCTCCACCTGAGACTCCCTCTCCCTCTCTAGTACCCTCCGAGTCCTGCTCCCCCAGGGGACTAGAGGAGAGTGGATTGATGGGTTAAGGCCTCTGTCCTCCTCTCAGTGGGGTCTTCTCTTACAGTGGTGAATTATTCGCAAATGTCATAGTCTTTTTTTTTTTCTTTTTTAAGAGATGGGGATCTTGCTATGTTGCCCAGGCTGGTCTCAAACTCCTAGCCTTAAGCAATCCTCCCACCTTGGCCTCCCAAGCTGCTGGGACTACAGGCACATGCCACAAATGTCAGAGGCTTGACCATGCCTGGAACACTCAGTTCCTTCCTCAAATTTCACCTTCTCGGAAAAGCCCTCCCTGACCCAGTCCACTGCTTCCTAGTTTTTTACCATAAGAGTTATTTCTTCTTATCTTTTTCTTTCTTTTCTTTTCTTTTCTTTTTTTTTTTTTTTTTTTTTTTGAGACAGGGTCTCACTGTCACGCAGGCTGGAGTGCAGTGGTATGATCTTGGCTCACTGCAGCCTCAACCTCCCGGGCTCAAGTGATCCCCCACCTCAGCCTCCTGAGTAGTTGGGACTACAGGCATGTGCTTCCATGCTTAGATAATTTATACATATATCTCTCCAGCAATCCACCCACATTTACCTCCCAAAGTGGGTGTTGGTATTAAAGGCATGAGCCACCGTGACCAGCCATTTCTTCTTATCACCATTTAAAACAACTATATACATATATTTTATTTGCCTACTTGTTTATTTTGTCTCCTCTTCTTATAGAATATAAAAC